TATGTACTTTCATCTGTCTGAAAATTAAATACAATTAACAAGATCCCTTTTACATATTTTAAAATATAATTTGGATTTATTAATGTAATCCTGTGAAAATTAAAAAGAACACTTTATAACAAGGGTCATTATTTCTTAAATTCTTAAAGTATTTTTACTTAAGGAGTGCTTTAATGCTTCGAATGTAAACCACAAGGGGCCAAAGCCCCTTATGCTATAAAGGCATAGATTTGAACTACCTTTGTATTCTGGGTTTTGTTTCCCAGCAATGTGCAATTTGATTAAGAATAGTCTTTTTTTAAAAACAATATTTATACAATTTAACAGCAGACATGTAGCACTGTATAAAGGTGACATTGCAAAGCAGATCAGTTCAGTGTATTGCATTTCTTTAATAAGATTTCAGATTGTAAATAATCTTTCTATATTAATGTATTTTCTCAGAGGTTCAGTTTTTAAAAATTATTTGCACCTAGATCCCAATACTTAAAAAAATTTATGCATGTGTTTATGTTTAGCTTTCCAAGTGGCACATCTGGAATCAGTCAACATTTTAGTTCAGAGTGTGTTTTTGCAGGAACAAAATAATAGTTTTTCCATGATAAAACTCTATTGATGTTAATGTAAGATTAGTTGAAAAAGCTCACAAAGACCAGCTAAATCCCGTGTCTCACTGATACCTAAATTAATTCTGATTTAAAAAATGATAAATTAAACATAACATAAACCGTGGAGAGGAATAAACCTCTCTCAGCATAGAAAGTGTTTAATTTATTTTGAAGTGAGAATTAGCAGGACAAATCCTTTTTGATCTAGGAGATGTACATTTTTTTCTGAGAAAGGACAATAGGCCAAATTCTTAAGAGTGTCAAAAACCACAAATCTGCATGTATACACCTGAGTGCATTTTATCTGTATATGTTTCCACATACCTGATTACATGTGGTTATCTGTGCATGCACACACAAAATATCTTACGAAGTATCCACCATAGTCCTTGGCTGAGAGGCACAGACTAAAGAAATGTTTCAAGTCTGATTTTTCCCATTACAGAACGGTTCCTTGAAAGATGAGAGAAGAAAACCAAATTGACTAAATACAGTAATAATAAAATAAACTGTAATTAACCACTTCAGCTGTTAACTTTTTTTGCAAGAAAACACAACCATTGGAAAAATACAATTGAAAAAACCTGTTTTGTAAACATGGAACAAAACATAAAACATTAATCCATTTGTTGATTTTTGACTAGCAACTTTAGCCCTTTCTCAGATGATGGGATTCTACAGTACATGGTGCACTGTGCAGGTGATAAAGCTGTCCAAAACTGATGCCCAGCATGGTATTTTTGAAGACTTGGCTTTAAAGAGTTATAAAGCCATTGTTTATTATGCTCACCTCTTAAAACTGTGTAAATTCTGTGTGAGAATGATTGTTAGGTTGTACCTGATGTCAACAGTATATCAAGGATGTACTGATGTACATACCCTGATATAGCTTACAGTTGTTACTATTTCCCACACTTCAGTGCCTTTGTAGCCTTGCCAAAAGAATGAGAAATTATGATCTAATCGAACTAGGCACTGTACAAACGTACAGCAGAGCAGAATTATTTTACAGTATTTAAGCAATACTCAGGCATTTTTAGACAGCACCCTGATGAAGTAAGTAATAAAACACACAAAAAGCTCTTAAATAAGGAAATGCCCTTATACAGTTAGTTATAAACTATAAGGAATAAATCTGAATTCTGTTGGATATCCTGCAATTTACTTCAGCTGATTTGAAATTATAGATGTTTTTTCTTTGGAAATTTTAGTTAGTTCAAGACATCTTACAGTAAATACAAGTGCTGCATGTATAAAAATTTCTGTGAGAAGAAAAAAGTCACAATTACCCAGTTGTGCATTTTGGGGGACAAAATGTGCTTCCATTTGTGTCACTTGGAATTGATGTCAGTGATGTTCAGAAGCTATCTGCAGTCTATATTCGTGTTATGCTGGGACAGAAATCTTCTAAGAATTGCTTTTGTGCACAGCATTAAAATGACAGTCTGGCTGATGCTTGGGAGTTGCCTATGGCAATGGGAATAAAAGCAAATCCTCTCTAGATCCTCTTGGAATATAGAAATTAAAAAAAAAATGTTTTGGAAAAAATAATTGTTTTAGAATTGTGGCTTAAAAGTTCATTTGGTATCTCTGTTAGAAGGTTTACAGTAAGTAGAATCCTTGTTTATTCTCATATTCAAATTATTCTCATGTTTAAATACTTTAAGTCTTTAGGGGAAAAACAAAAATATCTGTTGAACTTCATTGGAACATGTGTGAATGCTTCTCTGGAGTAAGGCAGCAAGAAATTTTATGTCAGAGAAAGCGTGGTGTTTCTGTCTGCTCTGTCCTGGAGGCTGCAGGGGAGCCTCGTGGTTGGCATTCTGGGCTTGGGAAATTCACAGACCTCACTGGAAACTCTTCTTTAATAATGTCTCAGTCAACTTGTGCAGGAAAAAGTACCTTATATTCTGGGCAGGAGTTTATAAACTTTACCATCAAAAGGTTCCTTGAAGTAAGGTCATTTTACTATTTGGATTTCTTTTTATCTTTCCTCTTTTTATCTTCCTTCCCCCTCCCCCCCTGTTTTTTTCACTGTCATTTTTCCAGCAATTTAGAAATCATTAATTTTTTTTTCCTTTTTGGTCGTTTTTTTTCTTTTTTTTTTTTTTTTTTTTTTTTTTTTCCTCCCAGCTGGTGTTTGTTTGCTCCACAGTTATGCTCTTTTAATAAACCAGAACTTCTTAACTCTTTCAGATTTTTTTTTTACTTTTGTTTTTTGCTCTATCATTTTTGTATAAAAATTTATTCCTTTTCCCCTGTCAATTTCCTTTTTTTTCTCCTTATTTATCTGAACCTTGTTACACAAGGACCTAGCTTCCTCTCTGTGTTTATTGAAATGATGCCTGTTGGCCCTGGTAGGTTCACACATAAGGAATAAAACCCATTTTTCTTTTTCCCGGTTATCCATTTCAGTTTCCAGGTTGCTGGCTTTTTTTCACTGTGAACTGATTCTGCCTGTATAGGGAGAATTATTGTGGTATTCAGACACACATGAATGTTCTGGCATTTTAGGGCTTATTTCCCAGTTTACTAAATAAAGACCAGTCTGGACTAAAGTCCTGGATTCAGCCCTGGAAATTAATTGAAGTGTGAACCTGAATTTGCATTTCCTGATGCAGGTGCAACCTGAGCATTGAAGTGCCACAAAACTAGGATAAACATGCACACTTCTATCAAAAAGCAGCAGGAATGTATTAAATTACTAAATTAAGAAAGCAATCTATTTGCACCTCTGGAAATGATTAAAGTCTTAGGAAGTATAACCCCATTCCTTTAAAAATGTGTTTTTTCTACCAATTGAAGGGGAGGAGGAAGTGGAGAGTACTACAATACTGCTGTGCTTCAGTATCTTTTTAATGAATTCTTTTTATGGAATACATTTTCCCTTGTCTCATGTACCACTGATTGTAATACATTTGAAATACGCCAAAGGCAGCAGTTCTCTTTAAATAATTTATTGGGTTAAATGTAATAAGCAGGAAGAAAGAGGTATCTAATAAACTTATTTATTTGTTTGTTTATTTATTGTTTTGTTTTGAACTCATAGCCTTTGCTTCAGAAAAATCTCCTGACTTTATGAGAATAGTCTTCCAAAAACGAATGCCTGTTTTCTAGTCTCCTCTATATGAATCAAACTTGAGAAAGTAACTAGTGTGATGACCAGAGCCTTTTCTCCAGCTTTTTTAGCTCTGCTTTTGCAGAGAATTCCTGTCAGTCTTGAATTTTTTTTATGTATTGTGACAAATGCTCCCTTGCTGTGTTTTCTGCCCCTGCTGGAGTCTCCATGGGATTAGGAATCACGTGCTACCTTAGCTTAATGTTCTTGGCCTTTTTCAAATGATTGACACTGCTGAATGATTACAACAAAGCAACAATTATCCACTAGCTGTGTTATGCTCATTTCAAGGAGAAAATAAATGTTATTTGAGATGAGTAATCTGGACAGTGCCTTTCTGCTGAGTAAATGTAGGAGATCTGCCTGGAGTGAGTCATGATTCCTTTCCCATTTCTTCTGTTTTGTGGTACATTCTTCACATTTCCCTTGTGCTCTCCCCCTTTTAAATGCTTTACCGTGCTCTGATCCTGTTAGCCCACATAGCTAAGAGAGGTAAATCTTTTGGGCTTCATCAGCAACATAAAATTCCTCAGGCTCAGAGGCTCAGTGTCAGGCATGGCAATGTGTACCTTCTTCTATATTTTAAAAAATAAAATAGAAGAAATGAAAGCACCCTAAGCTACCAGTAATGTATTTATGATGTGAACACATGAAGTTTTATAGGGATTTTGCAGTCTGGATTACATAGTGTTTTATTGGGTTTTTGGTCTCTCTCTGTTTTTTTTTTTTTTTTTTTCTTCTTTTTTTTTTTTTTTTTTGTTTTGTTTTGTTTTGTTTGTTTGTTTTGTTTTGTTTTTTTCCCTTCAGTGAATTTTCCACAAGAATTCTGTCAAGGTTTGGCTCATAAATAGCAATGAGTTTTGTAAAGTTCCTGTACACACAAAGCAAACAGCAACTTTACCAAATGTTCAATGCAAAGAGATCTATGTGTCTCTTCATGCTACTGTCTGGAAGACATTTTACAGAACACCTGTCTGGCTTTAATGAAAATTCACACACAGAGATGCAAATCTGAAGAAAAAAAAAAAATCTGTCCTAGTATTGTAAGGACTTCAATACTAGGACTTTGTCCTGTTCAAGGGGTTGTATATCTGTGATGCTACCATCATCATTATTGTAATCAATAATGTTATAACTATTAACATTAGAATAATCAATACTATACAATTACACAATCATAATAATTGTTATCCCATTAATACTATTATGGATGTTCATATTGTTACTATGTTGCCACAGCTCCTTTTTAAAAGGTAGCTTGTTTTTATCTATAGGCCATCGAACATTGTTCATTGGAGTTCATGTGCCACTGGGTGGAAGAAAAAGTCACCGACGCCATAGGCACCGTGGGCATAAACACAGAAAGAGAGATAGAGAACGAGATTCAGGATTAGAAGATGGGAGAGAGTCTCCTCCTTTTGGTAAGATAAATTTTATTTTTTCATAGGTCTTTTAATAATAAACATCAGTATGATTATGCTTTGTCCTGTTATGGCTTGGACATGATTAGCAGTGGAATTTTGGAGAACCCATCAGAGCCTCTCCAGTCTCTGCTGGAGAGCCAAGATTTGATTCTCTGATGAAGGGCAGCAGCCAGTGACAGTCAATATATAAGAAATCTCAGTAATTTCTGCCACTGTAGGAGACTGTCCATAAGTGTTCTCATAAAGGTAGACTGCCACCACCATGGAGGAGGTAAGTGCTTTACGGCACCAGCTGCCCTCATTGAAGGCTCTGGAGTGTTTGCCCCTAAAATGTAACATAGAAGAGTTATGGTTTTTTACAATTAATTTTGTAATAATGTTGATGTTACTGAAGCTGCAGTGTTTTATCAGATGTGAACTGCAATTCAGACTGTGTTTGCCTTTTTCTTTACATGACACCATAATGTGCCACTGTGAGATGGATCTGCTAACTGAGGAGTTGCAAGCAAACAGGAAGAAATACATTTCCATAAATGAACCTGATACAAAACGCCTAAAATTCTCAAAATTTTAAATTAAAAAACATTAGAGAGAACAGAAAAAGGTAGAAATTAATAAAATAGTCAAGCTTTGTCTCAAAACACATGAGAATATTATTTGCTGTTCAGAAATAAACAACACATGTGCCGAAATGTCCAAGGCTATAGTAAGTGTTGAAAATACAATGGAAGCATGTCTAGAAAGCAATTTGTCAGTGTGCAACAGAAGAATGTTTTTAAATCATTAGGGAAATGTGCTAATGTAACTTCAGGTTACAGAATAGTAACTATAGAACTTTCTTTTAATCTGAGGTTTGTATTATGTATGTAGAAAGCTTTGGAGCAAGTAGGTTATAAGTGCTGGTGGTTAAGTATATTGTAAAGAGCTTGAAATACTCAAATCTTTCACAGTGAATTATACTGAGAATGAAACAAAGTCAAGACTTTCAAACTTTGTAGATATGAGTTATGTTTTGAAGTCTGAACAGTGAAGAAAAATTGGCTGTGGTGATTCTGTCTGGAATGTATTTCAAATGTATGAAGACCCAATACTATGTTGAAACTGGATTCTTGGAAAACAACAAAGTTCATAAATTATTAAAATAGTTTTCCAAAAGAATATGCATATATACATATAATGTCAGATTAAAAAGAAACAATTGAAAGTTACGTTAGCCAAGAAGTGAGATATCTTAAACTATGAAGCAATGTCTTCTGTTGAGTCATCTGGTTTTATTTAAGTGCCAGTATGTGACACATTTTGGCTGAGAACTTAGCTCTGTTCTTTCAACTTCTGGAGACCCAGGCTTGTGTCCTTTCTAATGTCAAAAGTTAAAAAAAAAAACAAAAAAAACAACAAAACAACAACAACAAAAACAAACAAAAAAAAAAAAAACAAAAAAAAAACCCAAACCAAACCAAACAAAAAAAAAAAAAAACAAACCAAAAAACATTCACTGGTTGAATCTCTCCTTATCTGTCCTTAATAGCCTTTGACAGTTGTGCATACAGTAAAATGTGCTGTTCAACACAATTCTGTGTTAAGTGAAAATAAGCCTATGTTCAAGAACTCTGAGTGGAATAGTAGTAATATGAAAAAGACAGTTTTGAAGTGCATTTGTAAATTGGTGTTTACAGCACTTGTTTACATGTGTACTTTTTTGAAATAAGCGCAGGACTGTACTTTCAAAAGACACATTTTCACTTGTAAAGGTATTATAAGCACTAATTAAAGGATATGTAGGTCATGTCACATAAATGACTACTTTTATAAAGCCCAGGACAGACAAGAGATAGGCCAGAAACACGCAAGTCTTTCTGGATCCAGAATGCTGAAGATATACTTCAAAATGCTTGGTTGATAACTATTCAAAGGAGCCAAAGACAGAACTACCAAACGTTCAGAAAAATCTGGAAATATCCATTTTTTTTTTCCATCCTGAAATAATATCTAAGGGGTAAAATTGGAGGATTTTTCCTCTTGTCTATCTGACTCCTAGAAGTTTGGCCAGAGAATCATACTTGGACTGAACTTTGACATCTATCCATCCAGGCAGAAATGTGGCATCCCATAGACAACGGTGAAATGGATTTGCTTTATGAAGGCAAATCTGAAAATTATACAGTGATGCAGGGGTTAAGCACAGTCAGAGCAGGCAGACAAAGTTGTACAGGGTTTAATCGTAGTCTATGTCCACATTCTTGCTTTTACTTTGGATTTTCCTGACAGGAGTTTCAGACAGGTTGTTGTGCTGCCTGGGGAGAAGCATTGCCTTTAGAGAGAATATAGGCATAGTTTTTCTATGCTTTATTTACACAGAGGGACCAACAGATACTTCCTGCACTAAATCTGAATACACTAAACCTCAATAATGCCTCTTAGTTCTCGTTCCCCATGGCCACAAGGTTATGAAAGTACCCAGAGGCTGAAGGAAGTTGCAAGGAAGACAAATGCACTTCCTACTCTTGATGCATAACTCAAGATGAGGTACTGTGCTAAGAGAGCAGATCCAAAATAATCCCTTAATTTATGAATCATTCTGATTTAATTGAGCACACAGAAATGCTTAGCTCCCTCTTTCTATAGACACCTTTTAACGTGTTTCTGCTGAATAGTAGGAGGCTGTATTCTTGGGAAGTGGGAGGGAGGAGGGGAAAGAAAAAACGTTTCAACGAGCAGATGCAAGAAGAAAGATAGAGAAAATAAGCACTGTGAGACCAGCTGATAGAAAACAGTGCTTTGAAGTAAGTCTGAAAATTACATTAGGATTTTTATGATAGAAGAGAATAAATTAGCAGTGTTTTGAAGCACTGAAGTATGAAAGGGGGTATAATAAAAGCCAAAGATGCAACAACTGAGTAATAGAGATGCTGGAACAAGTAAAGGCCTGAAATATTCAGACATGAAGTGCTCTAGACTGCTCAACCAAGCATGGGATGAAGCATTATTTTTTTTTCATAATTTCTAAGAGTATAATTCATAGCTTCATCTGTGAAGTACCATTAGGTGTAGATCTTGCTCTGCTATCACTGCTTCAGGGAGCTGCATGGTGCACATAGTGCTGTGGGGCTGTGCAGGCCCCACTCAGAGTGGACAGGTGCCACCTGGTTCCTATCCAGTGAAAAACAATTTCTTAAACAGTTTTCTTTATATCAACATGGCTAGAAAACACCTGTATTCAATGTAATGCCCATGGCTAGAAGCTTCCTGGTAATCCCTTTGAATCCTGGCTGGGAAAGCTGTAGCAGCTACTTTCTGAGGGAAGGTTTCTGCGGAGAATAGATTTTTTAGAACATTCTGACGGCAGCTCAAAAGCTTGTTTTTTTTAATCTCCTACTGTCACTTTTCAAAAATAACCCAAGTATTCTCAGTGTGCAGATTCAGAGCTTGTAGACAAATAATATGTAGAACGTGTGGTTAGTGGAATAAAAAGGAGTACTGTCATTTGGGGGAACAGATCAGTTACTCAAGTTTTATTTTGTTTTCCCCACACCTGATTCTCGCTGTGTGTCTGTTGCCTCTTGATGAGATGAGGTTGTACAAGATATTTCCATTTTGCTATAATGATGTGCATTTGAATTGCATAATTTGTAGATTACATGGCTTGCTCATGGATAGGCTTTTTTTGGGTAGTAAAAATTGTAAGTTAAATGATTTCAAGATGTAGATTTCCACCATCTTGCCTCATTTTTTTGGAAGAAAAGGAGAAATCCAGTGGAATTATCCACTCTAGTTAAAAATGCAGTAATGCTCTTTGCTTTATTGAAGATTTTTCCTGTTCCCAGCTGAAAGGCTGCTGTTGTAATTAAGGCTGTAGTTTCATGCCCCTCCTCCACAGCTTTCCTTGTGGGGCAAGTATTGTGGCTGCTCTGTGAATTAAATTGGAGAACTGATGCAGATGAAAACTAGTTTGGCAAAAAAGCTGTTTCTAGCCTAGAGCAGCTTCTTGGTGCTGTTTGCTTGGGAGGGCGATGGGTGCAAGCCCCACTGGGCTGCAGGACCACAAGCTGGCCAGCACGGCTCCATCAGCACTGTGGGTTGTGGTGGTACTGAAAGCCCGGTGCAGGTTTCCCTTTGGCTGGTAGGGTGGCACTGGCTTGGTATGCGTGTGGAGTTTAGTGGCAATTTTCAGTGGGTTTTCTGAGGTCTGTTTTTGCCTGTAACCAGTGGAACAGCTCTCTTGTACTTGCATATATGAGTTAAAGATATTTATGTTTCTGTTTTAAAATGAGGTGGAATAGGAAGACTAGCTCACAGCAGGGTGTCTTTAAGGACAAGTTTTGTGAGGATGAACACAGCTGTGAGGGCTGGGGTTTGATTTCAGCTTCCTGTGGCATTTTCTAGGACTAGACACTTCTGGGGCTTGTGCAAGGTTTGGTTTGTTCTTTTAAGAAGTCTGGCTTTAATAATACCTAGTTTTAAAGAGGCTTAAATTTGTAATTCATGATACTGGATGTGGCAGGGGAAGCTGGGCAGCCCTGGAGTTGAGCCTAACAGAGGACTGCATGCACGGTTCAGGAAAGGCTCTCTGAAGGTAATGCAAGCAAAAAAGTGAATTGCAAAGGGGACTTCTCTTGGTTACTAGAGGGGCCTGAAAAAAGTATAATGAAAGGATGCAGCTGAACATATTTGGGAGCTAACCTCGAAGGGGTATTAATGGGGCAAATTTAATTATTTCTAAAGATGGCTGTTAAGAGAATTCTCCTACCCTTAACTATAGGCTTTGTCTGCTGAAGGATGGACTTGGAAATTTAAATCTCTGGGCAGCTGTGGAACAGATTGCAGCAAATCTGGATTAAAATAATGTATCATAACTGCAGTTTTAAGAGTCTAGCAAAAAGAAGAGAATTGAAGCTTGGGAATTATCCATATTGTCAGATCCAAAAGATAAGATTATTTGTCATAGCACTGAGGTGATGGAAACAATTAATGTGAACAAAATGCAGAGAGCGCTTCCTGAAAACAGGATTATAGGTATAGGGATAAAGTGCCAGAGAAGCAAGCAAGGGAATACCTTATCCCAACCTAACACATGGTTTCTAAGGTCTGTGAAGAGATTTTCAGAACTGTGCTGTATGGCTGTTTACTGTTTTATGTGGACTTCAGTAATTTTGTTGTAATTTTTAACATGTTTTCTAATAAAAAAAAAAAAAAGAAGTAATTTATGATCTTTACCTTTACTGATTGTTGAGCAAAGTCCCGTCTGTACAGGAAGGAGGTGGGGGGAGAGCTCCCATCCACCACTTCCTTGTTGAGTGCAAACAGTAGGAGGATGAATGTTTGTGTGTGAAATGATCCTTTCTTTTCTGTGATCCTGTGAATTTTTCACACCATTTCCCCTTTATTTGAAAGGAGTTGTTATGGTTGTCAACTGTGTTATACCAGTTCACTCCCTGTCTGCAGCTTGTCCTGTGCAGTGAGCAATCAAAAAAAAAACATTTGTATGTTTAATATTACTTCGATGTGAATGTACAAGGTTCTCAACAGGCTTAGAAATACAGAAACCTGTTCTGACAATTGAGCTAATAGAGTGTTAGCAGAAATAAATTTTCTACACCCTTTCTAGAGTTTATCAAGAGCAGAGGACAAAATTTGGATACATTTTGTATGTACCCAAGGCTGTGTTTCTGCTTGTGGTATGGTTTGGGCAGATTGCCTGTAGTTCTGCCTGATGGCAGGGCAGTTTGTCTCAGGAGAAATCCTGGCACATGTTGAGGAGGAGCTGTGGATCACTCTGAATGGTGCAGTTGAACAGGTTGTTTACTAGGTCATATTTATATGGAGGGACTGAGAATGATCCTGCTTTCTTACTCCAGCCCAAGTCTTGATTCCCTTAGTTCTTGTTCTTGATTCCCTTAGGCAAGAGGGAGCAGTCCTGACACAGAACTGTTGTTGTGCTTGGAGATGTTTTAAATGGGAGAAATGCCTGTTATGGTTCTTTTCTTACATGTGTTTTTCAAGGTGTGTTGGTGATGTAGGCCACTCTTCCCCCCTGCCCACACTCAGCACTGTTCCAGGGAGTAGCATTTCATGTTGCCCTTTAGGAATTAGGTTATTAGCAGTTCTGCCTTTCAGTTCTGCTGTTCTGGCATGTCTATGCCCATATCTTGCTTTTGGTTTAGGGGTGCTAATGACTTTAAAAAGTCATAGCAGTGAGCAGTGTGTCAGGTTGCTGCAGGGTCACTTCCATTCTACAGCACTGAATCCCAGTGCAAATTTGTGATTTCAACAATAGCATATTCACCAGGTCTTAATTTTTACCCCTTTAACTGTGTGGTGGAGTTATACAGATTTGTGAAATCTGGAATACTCAGGTTTTCCATGCATGCAGTGAATTTGAGGTCATAGGTAGTTTGGACGTCTGTGTCAATGCTGCATGAGTGATGTGAGCACAAGCCTAGAGAAACCCAGGTATAAGAGAAAATCTGGCAGGAGGCTCCCATGGGCTGCTGGAGCCACAGCAGAGAGAATGTTGCTTCAACTTTTCCTGACTGAGACAGCTCCTTAGCCAAGCATGGGTGGTTGTTGATAGTACCCCTGCCCCTGTCATGTACCAGACTTTTTGCCCTATCGCAGCTGGTCCTGGAGGATTTCCTGAACTGGTGATGAGCCACTTGGAAGAATCATCAGCTGCTTACTGTGGAACTCTGAATTCACATTGCTTCTAATATATCTGTGCTCTGATATAAAACAGTTGCAGTGATAGAAATACTAATGTAACACATTAGTCCCATTAATCTAAAAAAAAAAAAAATCTAGATTAATTTCATTACTTTTTAGAAATAACAATAATATGAAGGATTTTTTTTTTCCATTGGCTGTACTACTTGAAGTAGGGATAGACACAGATAATATTCAAGCCAATTTTTGTTTTCCTAGACTTCCAAAAACATTGAGTGTCCTAGTTTGCAAATATGCTTCTACACTGAGGATTATCGTAGTTTGACAGTCAGCAATTGAAATATTCTTTCATACTGTTTTTGAATCATATATTACTCATTTTCCATATAACACCGTAATGACATATTTGGTATGTTACTCCTATGAATAAGAGCCAAATCCATCTGGCATTGCACACATGAGTAATCCTGGTAACTAAGTTTTATAAGTAGAAGCAGCAGATCTGATTTTTTTTTCTTATTTTATTGTGTTCCTATTATTTCTCTTAGGGTTTTGTCCTTGAAAGAAAATTATTTTACTATAAATCAAACTATAACTTTTTCTTTTTTTTTTTTTTTTCCCCCAGCTTGCTGTCTGACAATCAAGCTGTGTCTTGCAGGTTTCAGATGCCAATAAAAATTACAGCAGCAAAGAAAGTTAGCCAGAATCTAGCAGCTAGTTTTACTGGTGTGTTAACAAGGAAGAAAGGAATTTAGTGCATATTTTGTCATTTATATAGATTCTTCACTGTTGTCAGTCAAGTAACTTTATGTTGCACAGAAGACCCAGTAAGAGCAAATCACAGCAGTAAGGTGTTTTCTTGTTACTACTCACCTGACTTCAAGAGATTTCTGATCCTCTGCTTTCCTTCTCACATTGAAAGTGTGTATTTGCATGCGTATCATTACTATCATAAAACTGCAACTTTGCTATACAACACTACTCATTTATTACTTAACAGTAGCTGTTGCTGTAAATCAGTTCTAGTGCTGATTTTATCAAGAGTACAGGATGTTCCTGGCAATGTTTATTCTCAGATTCTCACTGCAGTCCAGTTCTCTACCAATGTAGCTTGTTTTCCATTTTCTGTCACTAGTTGTATGCATTTGTCCTTTGCAAGTTCGTATCTCACTGAATTCTGCCCTTCTGGGAAATAGTCTTACCCAGTTGCATACTTCTTGACCAGAATGTGCTTTCTAGTCTCAGATGAACTCTTGATGTTTGTATTTACTTTATCCTTCTCTAGTATGTGCCAACGCGTGGGCATCATGAGGAAAATAAAGAATCTTGAAAAAATTAGGTAGAGAGAGTCTGGAAGAGGGTCCAGAATAGAGGTTGAAATGGTGTTGAAGAGAAAAGAGGACTGAACAGTGAGAGAGAAGAGTAATAAAAGAAAGGGTAAAGTGGAGGAGGTTGTTGCTGTTCTCTAATCATTCTTCAAAGTAATTTCTGCCCCCTTAGCTGTCCCCTCCAGTTCCCTTCTCTAGAGCTTAGTAGTACCTGAACCCATCTCTCTCTCCGTCCTCTCCTGTATTTCTTCCGGAGTTTCACTTCCTTGCATTCCTACTACAAGAAGTAGGCTTGACTGTACTATATCTTTACACTCTGAGCAAATAGGCCTCAGGTGAAAACTGTCATGTGTTGTTTGTGTTACATTGATATAGCAAGTTTATTACTACTACCAAAAAAGGTATCTTTACTGCTGAATTTATTCTCCTGTATCAGTGACTCATTTAATTATTTTTCATCAGCATGGTATGTGCTCTATAACTATCATTCAGTGAGTGCCATCATCTCAGATTTTCCAAAATTCAGAGAGCTGGGGATCCTAAGCAGTGATGCTCTTCACTGCTAGATGAAAAATACTATAGCTTGTCTTACAAATCTGGTTATGGAACAGAACTTTATTTAGACAGTGTTCAAGGAATTGTTGTTCTGCTGGATAATCAGTTTTTCAGTTGACTGCTAGCCTGGCCCCTATCAGCTGTCATAAAGGACTTCCAGTTCCTCTCAGAAATCTGAAAGACATTAGAAGAAAAAATAACTATGCATTCCTGGAGAGACTGGGTTTCATCCAGAGTTTGTTGATTGAGATTTGCATTTAAATAAGCAAATAAGGTGATTTTTTTTTTTTCCAAGACTTACAACATTTGAGCTATGAGCACTGAATATACATGTGCATTAAGGTGCTCTGTGAGTTCTGGAAACTTTCTGAGTGATACGGAAAAAGAATAATATGTTTCCAAAATATATTTATTAGTCTGCACTGAACAGTTATGAAGAAAAATAACTGGTAATAGGAATGTAGTGGGAAGAGAGAGAGGAAGAATAAAATGGGGAAGTTGAAACAGATAACTTGTTTATCTGGAACAGCCTAACCATGTAGAAATGTTTACAAAGGAGCAGGGGATGGGAGGTGTAGATGGTGATGTATTCTTTTTGAAGTTCCCATCTGTATATTGACACCTGAGAGGTTTCTTTTGGTTTCTTTCTCCTGATAGGTAAAACAAAGAATGCGCAATTACTAAACCAGCTTTGTTAACTGAGCTAGATCTGTAGATTTAGACTTACGATATGGCAAAGTAGTTTTTGTAACACTGGAATAAAAGACTTTACCAGCTCATTCTATGCTACTATCTGTGCTGCCTTTTTTCTGTGAGATACCATTCCAGCCTCCAATAGTCACTACATCTGCACATCACATTCTATCTTTAGATTAGCTTGTTTAATTAGCAGACTAGACATATACAGTAAGTAAAGAGGGATCAATCTGAAGGTGTTTGTGTATAAATGTTCTTACAGCATAATTGTAATCATGTTTTCTATGTGGCAGTAAGTGATATGCATGAAAGAGTCTGGATAATCTCACGAAATTTTAGGTATTTGCTTGCTCAGGGCAAAAAAAATGCTGTTCTAGACTTGATATTTTTATTTTTCCCCAGATACCCCATCACAAAGGGTACAGTTTATTCTTGGAACAGAAGATGATGATGAGGAACACATTCCTCATGATCTCTTTACTGAGCTTGATGAAATTTGTTGGCGTGAAGGAGAGGATGCAGAGTGGAGGGAGACAGCAAGGTGAGTGTTTTCATAAATTTAAAAAAAATTATCTGTAGCTATTGGTTGCTGGTGTATTGAGGAATGATTTCAAAGATGTGGCAAGCTCAGGAATAGATTTTGCATATAAAGCTTAAATAAACCCATCATTTTAATCCTTAGACTGCTAGTATTACAACAGCATTTGTTGTTTCCCAGAGCCAAATATTTTCATCTGGATTTATGAAATATAGGTCAGAATGAATATCAAGGGAAAAAACCAAAGTAAACATATCATGTATATGAATTAAAAATTACTGGTTTTATTCATATTTTAGCTCGTAATTTTAAGAAGCTTTCAAATTTCGTATTCTGTTTGAATCCTCAAGAAACTGATAAAATTACCATTACAAAAAGATAAAAGCAAGGTCTGAGATTACTTTGGAGCAATTAAAGTTTTACATATTGTAACTGTCAATGAACAGTTGATTTTAAGACTTTGAGTATTCACTGTTGGATTACTTTGTTTCTGCAAAAGTAGTGTGAAAAACTGTTTAGATTGCTCCTCTGCTGAAAAAAATAACATTGGAACAGAACTTTTTTTTTCACATTTGTTTCCTTGAGCACCTAAATGGGAGATGACCTGCTTAGTTTCATTAAGACTTTACATTTCCCAGCAATCCTTGCTTCATTTTCCTTCTTAGAACTTTAACTCTCTCTTTCATTGCCAGTATTTGTTGACAGTGTTCCTCAGTGGTGCCCAGAATTCTGTGGACCACATCCCTGGTGTCAGTAGGATAAAAATTGTGGAATTTCTGAAATAATTTTGCAGGGAACTACGTATGTGGGCTGTTTGTTGTGAATATGGCTGTTAGCTTTCCCTTTAATTTTACTTCCCAGAGGGCCGCTGAATTTTCTATGACCTTCCTCTCACTTATGTGTCCATAGGAGTCATAGAGAGATGCTAAATATAGATCTGTACATGTAGAAAATTCTCATACGGGGATTGTGCCTCAAAATGAATGTAGTAGTGTTCCTAAATAATCTTATTAATATTCAGAGGGTTAAAATCTAATCAAGCTAATCATCTGCAGTGTTCTCATACTGATTAGGAATATATAGAACCTCTTCTAGAAAGGGTATTGACTTCTATTGTGATTAAAAATAAAAATCACTCTGGGTTTTGTCATTTTCAAGCAGGGAAATAGCACCTTTTTTAGTTCAACTAAAAAAAAAAAATCCCCTTGCAAATCATTGAGTAGTCGTGTTTCTGAAAAATTATGTCAATTTTTATTAATATAAATACTTAATCAAGATAGAATTTGAAAGGAATAGGTGAAATAAAGGAATTTCTATTTAGATTGATCTGTCTGTATGTATAGCCTTTCCAAATGTAATTTGAGAACTGAAAAATCAAAAATGTTTAACAGAAACAAGATGAGATTGTTGAAAAAAAGACAGGAAAAAACAATATATTTTTGGAGGTCAGAAAATGCAAGAGTGAAGTATAACAGCTAATAGTAAAAATTTAATTAGAAATAAGATGAAAATAGAGGAAGAGTGTGATTGTCATGCAGAAAGAAGTGGTCAAGATAAATGATCTTTTTCCGTTTGGATCCAAAAATTTCAGACAGCGTTTGACATGGGGTAGCTAGGTGTTAGAAAAGGAGAAGATGGCAGTGAAACAATCAAATGCAAAATGAAGGCGATACTCAAAATGCTTTATCTATGCAAATAAGAGGGTGCAATAATTTCCACCCTAGAAAGCTGAAAGAACACATTTTTCGTGGGTATGGTAAATCCCATCTTTCTGTGACTCTATCAGGTGGGTAGTTGTGCTATAGCAAACACAGCAACACTATTCAAGAAAGGATAAAAATGGTCAGAACGAGCAAAGGTCTGATGGTCAGATTTCAGAGCTATACAAGGCTTAGAACAATCTTTGAAGGAAAGAATCATTGTAGATTTGGAGCTAAGTAGAAAATTGGATAAAATGCAAGACAGTGGTGTATCATGTCAGACTAAATAATGCTATTTAATCAGATAATTGATTGTTGTTTTTCTGACAAAGAAAAAACAGTGGATCTCTTTTTTTAGCAAAGTGTTAGATATGATACAGCAGTGGGAATTTATTACTTAAAATCTGTTTTAATGTAAAAATTACATTAGCGGGTAAGGAACTATTTGAAGAGGTACAGCAGGTCATGCTGAAAATCTATTAGTGTGGAAGGTAGTGACAACTAACTTCTGAAGAATAAGTCTTAGTAAATAAGTTTATTATTGAATGACAAAAATGGGATTATAGTAATGAAACTTGCTGATAAAAAATTTGGAGATATTGTTACTCTAGAAATAGTTAAGAATATCATACACAAAGAACAAGGTGACTTGGAAAAAATAATAGAAATGGGATGGTGTTTAAGATGCAAGATCATATACATACAAACTAATGCAGTGGATCACTTTCAATACTGGTGATTGATTCAGGATTGCAGAGATACTGATTTGATTAAAATAAATGGTATGGAGAGGATACACCCTTGGTTATTCCTCTTCCAGCCTTATTGTATGTTTCCCATCCACCTGGAAAATGCCACTGGAAGTATTTGTAAATCTTACTATCTGGCTTTGGACATAGTTCCAGGTAGATGAATTTAAATGCCAATGATACAGAGGAAGACTTGGTCATTAACAGCATTTAATGAGAGTGATGGCACAAAGTGGTTCTGCATTCTCTTCACCAAGCTCTGCATGGACTAAAGGGTGGGTTGACTCTGATGCAGTAAATCTGTATCTTTGTATTTTCAGTTTGATTGGAAGTGCATCCACAGTTCAGCCTTAAAATTCTTTAAAAATATCTTGACCAAACTGCATAAAACTGTTTGAGACACTTTGTTCTTGGCTGATCAAAAGATCAAGAAAGGGAGCCATGGATAAGTTGGCCAAGTGAGAGCTTGGTGTTCTTTAGGTAAATCTCTTCTACTCACATTTAATTTACTTGGAAGAGTAAGACCTTTTCTAGGTTTTTTTTTGGTTGGTTGGTTGGTTGTTTTTTTTTTTTTTTTTTTTTTTTCTTTTTTTTTTTTTTTTTTCCGCAGCAGTTAAGAAACTCCAAGGTTTTCCATTCTCCAGTTTCCATAACGTTTCTCATTAGCAAAAGCATACCTACAGTTTAAATAGTAGGACCAAGAAAGTAAAATGCTGTTACAGCCTATTTCATTCCTGAAAATTATTTAGGCTGTCCTACCCATGGAATTAGCAAGGAGAATGGAATAACCTAGTTATGTTGAAATAGTGATAAAATTAATTATTTTTTCCCCCACTAATTGATTTCAAGCCAGAAGAAACACATACCTTTTAAAATCAATAATCAGTCTTATAATATTTTTTGTACATGGCCCAGCTGTACAATTGTGTAGAGAACGGATGATGTATAGTTTCTATACAGAAAAAAATATTTCCTGTCAATCTGTGGAGAAAGACACTGAGGCATAACGGTTGGGCTTATTTTATACACACAATAGTATAGTTGTAAATTACAGCTATTAGGAAAGCAATTCATGTTCCAATCTGTCCTTTTATCCTCTTGTGACTGTGGCTGGAAAGTAGTACCTGACTTGTAGCAGGTTTTACCCAAACACTTGAAACTGATTTATTTGTTAATATCAAATGAAAATTTCAGGAGAATACCACTGCATTTCTGGAACAGGAAAACATATGTTGTAAGGAGGAAAACAGACACTTTGGAACCAATAGGAAAGTGTCTAGGCTTGAATTTTAATGAAACAGCACAGTTATGAAAATAAACCTCTGTCCATAGTTTAGAAAGTAAATTGTTAATAATGATTAGAAAATGGCTGTACTAGGGAGATATTATGAATATGAAGTAAAAATGCATCTCTTTTGAAACAATACTTTTCTTTCAAGGACACTAGGTCAAAAAAAACTAAGATTTTTTTTTTTTTTTTCACTCCTGCTTTGTTTCTGACCTGCTTGTTTACTTTGGTTCATTTTCTAATTGGCACAGGCAGGCAAAGGTCATTTGGAAATTTATACAGATTGTAAGATTACATTAATAACTTTGACTTTTGAGCGTGTTGTGAGTACATACTCCAGCTCTCTGCTGCAGACATAACAGACTGTAAAATGGATCATATTCAACTTGCCCACTTCATATTTTGCACCAAAATGTTGTAACTGTGTCCACAATGAAGTGTGCACACTTCTGTTGACTCCTAAAAAATCAGTGGAGATGATCTTAAAAGATGTAACATATGTATATGTGTGTATGTACACACACATGCATCTGAGTAATATTTTTTCCACAAGTATCATACCTTGCTGAAACTCTTGTTGACATGTCTTATTCCAGCAAGTATGCTATGAGAGGAACTAAATGGTATGATTGATATACCTGTGCTAGTCTTTACCAGTAAAAGAAAACCATATGAATGAAGCTGCTCTTCTTTGTGATCAGACACAACTAAGATAGCTCTAAATATGTTCCAAGCACATAGGATCCGTGTGACACATGAGCTCAGTATACAGGTGGTGTTGATGTTGTTTTCTAAGAAATTATGAAAGGATTTTATTTATCAACCATATCAATTTAAAGGGTTAAACTCCAAAAGTAAATATATTAAATTTTGCCCTTTTCTCTGAGAATCCAAAAAGAATAGAAAATTTGCAAACTTTGGATCCATGCTTGAATTTGAATTTCAAAGACATTTCTATCCTTGAATCTTGTACATGAATTTAGGGGGTTGTTAAAGTGGTATTATGATTTTTAAAACCACTTGAACACTTAGAATTGAACAACTATGTGTAATATTAGAGATTTGTTTGTTTTATGCTTTCTGCTACTGTTTCTCATTTGATATGTTAAATAAGAATTATCAGAGAATAATAATAAGAAGAATTAACAGAAAAATTTCTGAAAAGATAAAAGGTGATAAACATGATTTTCTCTTGATGAGATGAATAAACTCCTATAATACTCATTAAAATCAAAATAGAAGTAAATTCCAAATGTTGAATTCTCTCAGCTGGGCATGATTTACATTTATGTACTAGCCTGTTGGCTAATAATGTAACAGTGTATAATGTGTTTAAGCATGTAAGTTTTAGTAACAGTAGGAATTTGGATGCAATCCTTAGAATTATACTGTTCAAATTGGTTGAAACTCAAATAGAGGTGATCATGATGGCAAGTATGATTATTTGAGCAGTAGCAATAATTTTCTGCGTATTTTTATGTTGTGTGTAAGCTTTGATGTCTGATTGACACCATAAACTAATTAATGCTGTTTTCATGATATAGACTTTTCTTGTCTGTGTGTCCTTAGTAAGTTAGAGCTCTGGTTATGAGCCTGCCTCTGTCCCATCACCTGTCTTAATGAAACTTTTAAGAACATGCTTATCTTTTATCGCTCATGTGAAATCTGTTTAGAGTTAGTATGTATATTCAAAATAGGTTATATCAAAGACAGATTGCAGCAGCATAATCAGATAAGCAATGTTGAAGACTGTTTACATGAACAGAAGGTAATGGCAGTGTGAGGTTTCTGATATTCTGTAAGAATCTATGCTTGGATCATTGTTTTTAGGATATACGTAGCATGATTTTTCAAATCAGCATAAAACAAGATTGATGGTACATCAGAAATAATTGGGAATACTTAAGCACAAAGATCATAATCTTCTAGAACTCATAAAGAGATTAGAAATATGCACAAAACCAGAGGTATGAGAAGATAAAAATGTAGATATTTTGCAGAGTCTTAGGAGGCTATCGTTTAAGGAAGACAAATAATGCGCAACGTTTGTGATGGCCACAAATAGGTCTTGCATATTTTTGGCTTGGAAACATGAGCGCTATGAGTAAGCCAGGATCAGCCTCTTCTTATGGAATTCAAGTGCAACTGCAAAATGAAAAAAAAAAAAACAAAAAAAAATTTTTTTTTTTCTTTCTCACATGTTTTTTGGTAAGTTTACTGAGTTGTAGCTCATCTCTTTCAAACCATGGCTTTGAATCTGGTGGGGGTGGCATGTGTTAATTTCTGTTTGATGTCCATTTGGATATTGTTTTCCAAATAGATTTTCAAACCATAATTTGCATATGCAAATGTAATGGTTAAACTGTGTGGAAGCAGCTTTTTGTGTGTGCTGTGTCCTTCTTGCTGCTTCTCTGAAATAATTAAAAGGTAAAGGAGGTAGCGTGGGTAGGCTGGGAAGAGAAGAGAGATTGCAATGAAGGGAATGGGGAACAGAAGTCTGATGGAGAGGAAGGACGTCTCATGAGCAAAGATGAGATACGGAAACTGGCCAGCACAGAGGAAATGGAGGGAGGAGTCTTTAAATACAAAGTGGAGGAGAGGTCTAGATACAGGAGATTGGAGATTTGAGAGGAGCTGACGAGTTGAGGGTAAATTTTGTATGTAAATAATGGGAGAGTGATTAGGAGGTAGCTGATGCATTTAGAAGAAATGGAATGCATCAGGAAGGGAGCAGATATGCTGGTGATGAGTGGGTCACTGGAGTGGTGGCTGCTTGCAGGATGGCATCAGAAAGGCAAGAATCTGGTACACAGGGACCGAAAGGAGGAAAGTATCTAAAATATGGATACTCAGCCATATTTTACAAGAAAGAGCAGAGCTAGGCAGCTGGGCCAGGAACAGAAGAGGACAGCTATGTTTGCTGTGTTACTGGACTGCAAGGCTTGGTGAAACTGGAAATGGCTCAGCTTTAGAGGTGTTAAGGCTTTATGCTTCCCTGCTGTCTGGAAATAAGTGTGAAGGTGCTGTCAGGGTGTGAGGCTCTGCTTGACTTATCTGCTGCCTGGTCCATATAAAACAGCTGAGTGCTGTTGAGTCAAGTGCTGGAACCTTGTGCTGTGTCTGCAGCTGTTCAAGCCTTGGCAAGCTGGCAGGCTGCATGGCTGCATGCAGCAACATCTGTGTATGCTTGAAAGATTTAATAACTTTAATTTAAAACACTTTTGCTTATGTCAACAGACTTCTTCTGTCTTTTTTTTTTTGATGTTGTTGTTTAGTATTCTTTTAACATTTTTAGTGTGATTTTTATCAGTAAGCAATTAAAAAATTGTTCAGGAAAGTTCATCCAGCTGGCTAGTGACAAAAGACTTGATCCTCTCATGCCAGTTTCATGCATCCTTTTACTTTACTGAAGTCTCTCCAGATTTACACTGAACCTGAGAACAGGCAAATGAGACTTACAATAGTAAGTGATGATGTTACTGGATTCTAAAGTGTTATATTATGTCATTCACTTGGCTGTTTTGCCTGAGTAAGGTCCATATTTTGGATCCTGAAAGACATATTGCTTGTGTGTGCATGTATGTGCCTGTGAGGTTTTTAATTTTAATTGTCTGAACTTTTAAATGAAAAATAGCCTATATTTTGCATAATGTTTTACTGCCTTTATGAGTAGCTTAGTGCAAGTAACTAACAACTTAACTAGCAAATCTTGTAACAGTGTCTTTTCTGAAAAGGTTATGGTGGTGATAATGGATGCAGATTCTGTGAAGTGTCAATATATCAGTATATTTACTTCAAATGAAAATTGTCTCTTTGTTGTGTTTAGTCCAAAGTGAAGACTAAATGGAGAAAGTTCTCTCCTTGTGTTCATACTATGTATGTATAGCTTTTGTTTTTCTCTACCACAAATTCTTCTCTATCCTTTTCATACTACTTGTTCTATCATAGAAATGCCACTGTATGCCAAATAATTACTCAAAGTTTTTGTGAAGTACAGTATGATTAGTTAATACACTTCTCTCTTCATCTCTGTGGTCAGAATTTATCTTAAAAAAAAAGTATAATACAGCATTATATAGGAAGAAGCAGGCAAGGCAAGTTTCTCATATTTCTTACGATGAAAGATTAAAGTGAAATCGAAAGACATGTTTTAACATTGATCTTCCAATATCTGTGGAAGTAATTTATTTTTCATTTTATGCACAGTGGAGTTATAAGATTGGTTGTTTGCACAGGTGGTTGAAGTTTGAAGAAGATGTGGAGGATGGTGGAGAGAGGTGGAGCAAACCATATGTTGCCACACTGTCACTTCATAGCTTGTTTGAGCTGAGAAGCTGTATCCTGAATGGTACAGTTCTTTTGGACATGAGAGCTAACTCCATAGAAGAAATTGCAGGTACGTACTGATGTTGCTTTTATTAGTTATGAAAATAAAAATGAAGCGCTTACAAGACTGCTTATAAGAAAGCTATTGCATAATAATCAGTTTGGTTTAGAAACTCTAAGGAAATATTTTACTCAATATATTAGAAGAGAATCTAATATCTGACACAACTGGTAAATACATTTTATTTATATTGTTTGTATAGACTTTGCTATTTTCAGAATCAATTTTTATGTAAAAGAGAAAATTAAAATGGAGCAGAGAGGACAGTTTGGATATATTTCATTAGAACTGGCATGTTCTCTGCTCCTACTCTGGCCACCTCACATTGTGAATGATGTGTGTGCTAACATCTCCAAACTGAATATACTGCTATGCTAATTGCAGAGAATCTAGCTTAAAAAAAAAAAAAAAATATATATATATAGATAAGTATTCATCATAATTATGTAACATGAAAACTGACCAGTTTAAAAAACCATGTCTCTGAGTTGAGAGTGAAATCAAGTACAATAATATTAAGTGTAAATTTTTCAAAAATGTTAAGGTATGTTAACTTCTTTAACTGAAGTCAAGTACATTTTCTCCATTAAAGGTGTATTTGATAGTTGCAATTCTAGAGCTTTTGAGAACAGTAAAAGCAAAAAGCAAGAGAGAATATAGTGGATGAGTCTTGTCTCCCAAAAGTATAAGGGAGATTGAGAGTGAATGCAAATTTCTGTGTTCCTGATGTTCTCCATAAAGCTTATAACTAGTTACTACAGGGGACTTTTTTTTTTTGGTAGTGTGTTTGTTACTGTAATAAAGCAGGTCATTAGGGGCTGTATAGTACAGACTTGTAATGCAGAGCCTCAAGGAGCCCTGAAACTACAAAGGCTTCATGGCCATGCTAGAATCATGCAGTACAGTCTGGTGTGTTTATTTCCCTTTCCAAATACAACAGCTAATTTGAATTAGATCATTTATAGAGTTGTTAGTAGACGAGAGCTGAACATAAAATAAGTTTCTCTAGTCCATCGAAACAGAGATAGTATATGTATCATAATATAAATATATTTACATTTAGACTAAAACTCATCATTAAAATGATAACACCTTGTCCAAGGGCTCATGTGCTCTAGAGAGTGTCTAGTGCTATGTCCTTGCCTCTGTTGTTTAAAAATCTCTGTCCCTTCCAGCAGAGAAGACACAGAGCAAAGAGCTGTACTATTTTGTAATATGGGGTCTCTAAGTTTCATGTTCATGATGTTTATTGATTTGGTATCCTTCATATCTTACATCTACTTAAAAGTTTTACCTTGCTTCTACCTTACTGTTTTTCACAACATTTCTGAAAATGGTGCTGTATCTGTAAATAATATACCTGATATTTTATAGAAATTATACAAATATTGCCATTCTATACAAATACTGTATTAGATTTATGGTATTCTCTATATTGCAAACTTTGCTTGAAGATCAAACATGATGCAACAGATATAAATTTGGGAAATGAGCTCATGCACGGAGAAATGTGTTTGAGTGGTTGTTGAGGCCCTTTTGTTGCCTTGTCACAGGCACAAAGTAGTGTGTTAACAGAACATGTAAAATACACAAATAAAAAGTAGAAAACTTTTGCTTAGGTAAAGGTAGAAAAGACAGAGCAAGAAAATTTTCTAACGCTAAGGATTATCAGGGAAACTGGTTTATGGGTGATATATAAGTCTATGTAAGGTCCAGGTAAAACTTATTTTAGTTATTTACATTATCAGATAAGGGAGATACTGTTCAGTGGGCTATACTTAACAATGGAAATAAAATTGACTCAGATAGTAGTAGCTGCTTTTTACATTTACCTTTCCCAAATTGTTTATGTCAAACTGACACAAGATATTATTAATCCGAATCTGCAGAAACTTGTGTGGGTTTTCACTCTGTGCCGAGATCTGATCCTCCCATGAATCATGGCCTGAATCAGAGCTTCAGAATGTCTTGATAATGATAAAAGATAAACATGAAGAAGAAAAACCAGCTGATTTGAAAGAACAAAGGTGTTTATCAGTCTGCTGCTCTATTTTTTTTAATAATTAAGTACTTAGATCTGCTGCTTGATGTTCTTTTATTTTTTTTTTTTTTGCTTAAATAGTACACTAAGATTTTCAAGTTTGAGCTTTACATTTTTAATCCAGAAATCACTCAACTTCTTCCATAGTCAGCTAAGACATCCCTTCCAGAATTGTTTTTAAGTATATAAAAAAGTAAGAATTAATACAATAAAAATAACTTCAGAAAACTTAATTCATTTTTTCTGTTTTTTTTTTTTTTTTTTTTTAAATACTGTATAGTGAGACCACAATAAATTCATGTTTATAATCTTTTAATTCCTAGTTAGTTGTAGTAATTTTGTTTGTTTAGTTAATGTGGCCAAGAATTCTATCCTTCACAGTACTAATTTTGTTTTAAAAACTCATCCCAGAAGTTGTCCTTCAGTAGAGAATTTGATGAGTTACTGCAGTGCTATTTTCAATCAGTCCTAATTTCAGCATATCTTGATTTGTTTATTAGGAAAACTAGTTTCTTCTGAGAAGAGGCTTTAGGATGACTTTCGTGAATTGTCATGTACCATTTTCACTTTAAAGTGCCTGTTGTTGTGGCAGATTTGGGTGTATTGCGTTTGTTGTTTTATTTATTTGAACTAGTGGGATCTCTTTCTGATAAGGTGATCTGACACATGATAAGGTTTGCATGGGCTTTGCTTTGTCTTTGAGAGAGGATTTCTTTTTTTCCCTGTGCAGATTCAATAAGCAATTAGGTAATTATTTTTTCTTTAAAACAGCTTTGCAGGTTTTTCTGGCAAATGGATAATTCTGTAAATTATGAAGACATTTTTCCACCCTAGAAATAAAGTTACTATTCCATTTGCTTTTGTCCATTATTATTTGTGTTTTAGTAACACTGCTTTCCTCTTCTTCAATCAAGTTACTTTGGAATTTGTTACTCCAGTACTACATATGTAGTTCCTCCTCTCCAGTGTTTACAAGATGTTACAAAGACTGTGGCATACATTATGCAGAGATGGGAGGAGGAAAGACCAATAGCAGTGGTGACAAGCATGCCACCAAGATATACGTGCTAGGTGTGTTAGAAATTTGATAATCCAGAATACTGTGACAAGCTGCTCTTTTTCCATGTAAACGACTGCTGGACCTGAAGGTTAGACAGAACTTGTATCTCTTAAGAAATCCTTTCTTGTCTGTTCCACTCAGTTGCTATTCACTGTCAGTAGTTACAATCCTACTTATAGTGTGCTATACAATGCAAACATTGTATTCACCCTTGAGTTGGTATGTATTCCAGTCGTATCTGACAGTCCTGACACTTTGGAATTTAAAGAAGTGTTTACCCTCACCTGTCGGCTTCATTTTTTTTCAACATTTAACCCTTCTTACTTTGTTTGCTAGCCATTCTCATGCTAGGCTAGTCCAGTGATCCTGATGGTCACTTTTGATTGTTCTTTTCAATGCTGCTGCGTATACCACATATAGGAGAATTTGCAAAAACAGATAATACCCTGTGGTCTTAAGTGGTACTCCTAAATTAACTTTGGTTCTTGTACTTCTGATTCATAGTTTATTACTATGGGTTTTGTTTTTTAATGCAATCTGTTGATAATTTTGCTGCATTATAGTGCCTTATATCTTTTAAGAACAAATAAACTGTACACATGTACTTTATTTTTACTTGCCTTAACAGTTTGTTAGGGGGAAATGTATGTTGTGTATTTGTTGGTAATGTCTTGCTATCTGGGCTATATTCCAATATCAAATTATATTTCTGTAAATGCAGTGCCAGTTGTCTTATCCTTGAAAGAGGTATACTTAATCTTCATTGCTAAATTGACAAAGAATTCCGATTTGTTTTAGCCAAGGCTTTTAATCTATAAACACTTATTCACTAGTGCATTAAATTCTCAGCACTTAGCCTTTGAAAATTTCTTTTATTAAAGTCTATGTTTTAAGACCTTAATGGGCTTGTGGTAAAATGAAAAACATCTTTTATACTGTTTCCATGGCTTTCAGAACATTTTGTGTTTCATCCCTGGAAACTCTGATAGTTCTGCGTAAGAATATTTTGGCACCAGGGATGTGTTGAGAATTTTTAAATCATCCTGTCTTCCAGCATGTCCATTCTTTATTAGATTCTTTTTCATTCCAACTGTCTTATTAAAAAATGACTTGATGTACAAGACTATACATTTCTTTGGAGAGGCACCCTATTTTCTTTGTTGATAAAGAGCTTATTCATACCTATGATGCTGAATTCACAGCAATATCTTATTATAATAGAGACTTCGGAGATGAATTTACATTGTCTCATCATGCAGCAAAACAGCATGTTTATTCCTGAAGTTTCTCAAATTTTTCTTAAATTTTGTGAGATAGGTTTTACTTTTCCCTTGAAAAGAGCTCAACTCCTCTGCTGAACTTTATCCTGTTTAAGAATGCATTTTTTTTAATTAAATGTATTTTAGAGTTTTTTATTAATATTTTTAATATGTGGCATTCTTTTATTATATGTCTTTGCAGTGGCTTCTATATCAGTAAGCTAGCACTCCATGCACAAGGAATTCCTTTGAACATTTGATGTAGTAATATTTTATCGATCACTTCTGTATAGAACATATGTTAAAAGGAAGTCTGAAAAATCTATGTAATCAAAACAATTTATTTTGGAACTTGTCTCTTGAGGAGGTATTTGCCAGATTCTGGCTGCACCATTAGAGAGCAGCTTCACTGTGTTGTTCAAGTTGGCAGATGAAAATGTTCTCTTTTGATATTTTCATTTAGTTCCTTTGAAACCATGTAGAGTCTCATATTACCATCTGGTTTTTTGATTGTAACCACAGAATGAACCCAAAAGGTTCTTCTATTTAACATATGATGCCATTTTCTGTTGTTTGGTTCAAAAACTGCTCGGTCCAGCCTTTAATGGCAATGCTTTCTTTACAGCCTGAGTCACAGATATTGCATTTT